TACATTCCAAGACAGCACTTGATCTATCTAAGAATAGAAATGAAGCCTTTTCTTATCCCTCAGCTACCAGAACCCTCCCCCTTAACTACCTTGTAACTAGCTGCTTTGTGTTTATTTGTATTAATTCTCTTTTGAGGTATTCTGGACATACTCATACATGTGAACTTGTTGTCTCCCCCATGCAGATATAAACCTCTTGAGTGCAGGGATTATTTCACCCTTTGTACTTGTATCTCCGGCATCTAGCATAGTATAGTAACTAAGTCCTGGTTGATGGACAGAACTTCAGGAAAGTATCAGAGCTAATCTTTGCAATTTGTTTTTTTTTTCTTTTTCTTTTTCCTTCTTTCTTTTTCTTTTCTTTTTTTTTCTTTTAGACCTGTACATTGAAGTTGCTTTTATTGTCAGGTGTCCTGACAATATGGTGCCTTCGCTAAGGCACCATAATGATTCCTTCTATAATAATGAAAACTTCCATTTATAAAAACTTCTAAACTTGGAAATGGCTTAAATGCACAATCTCATTTGAATATTGCAACAAGCCTTGCAGAATGAGTACTCCAGGTCTCAATGCCTCCTTTTACAGATGAGCAAATGCATGCTGTAAGAAGGTGAAAACTTGCCCAGGGTCAAACAGCTGGCAAACATCCAAGGCAGATTTTGAACCCAGCTCCTGATACAATGGCATCCTCTAGATTCCATTGTAATGTTTCAAAATTCAAAAGCATCGTCATATTTTCTCAGCCTTTAACAATGAGTTGGTATTTCCAACCAACACAGCAAATTTTGACCAAATCAGACCATACGAAGACATTATGCCTTCCTCAGCATATTCTCAAAGTGCTAAGAGCTTAAACCCAAACTCAAGGACTTCCTGGTCTCAGACACATTTTACCCAGTGATCACTTAGCCTTCCCAAAAGGAATTAACAGGAACTGATGCCGGATTGAAGAAAGGCTCACCAGGGTTCTAATCTCAGCTCTGCCACTGTGTGACCCTGGGTTAATCACTTAAGTTGGGATTCCGTTTTGTCCCCTGTAAAATGAAAGGATTGTACTAGAAAGCCTGTAAAGTCCCTTCCTGCTGTCAGTCTCTGTTCCTCTGCTCCCCTGTGTCTATGCTATGTTTCTGATAACACCACAGTCTTCTGAGCAGTACACCTCATACAGTCAAGAGCTCATGCGGACTATACTTTCCATCATGCACATCTTTTCTACTTTGGACGGGGATGATTTTTGTGAATTTAACTTTTCCTCCTAGGACCTTCTATAACCCATCATTAGGGGATTGGGGCGCAGGCTTCCACTCTCCTATGCCTTCATCCCCCATAACTGGAAGGAGGAGGAGAAAGTTGAGCTTTACATGTACAGCTTAAGGTTTGCAAAGCATTTGACATTCGTTGAAATTCACAACAACTCCATTGGGTAGACACTATATGTATTATTAAAACCATTTTACAAATGAGGAAACGAAGCTTATGTGTACTATTGAACCTATTTTACAGACAAGAAAACTGAGCCTCCATGAGATGAAGTGATTGGGAAATTGAGGCTCAGACAAGTGTCAAAGGCAGGATTAAAACCAAAGACTTCCAGACTCCAAGTCCAGCACTTTATTCATTACCCCCAAGATGTCTCAAGACAGGAATATCATCACAAAATACTTTCCTGTCACAAGAAAAGCCCAAGAATTAGCTGATCATCTATTTGCGATGCAACTTTGAGTCTCTCCAATAAAGGTTTCACCTAAGGGCTATTATTTGTTATTGAAATGTTATGTATGGCTATGGAAAATAGAGAGGTGAAGAAGGAGAGACTGAGAGGGAAAATCTTAAAAAGTGTAATTGAGTTTGACTCATCTCTAAAGCCTGACATCATACTGTTATGGAAACATGACTATGGTATTACAAAATGTTCATACCCACATCACTTGACATCCTTTATGTTCCCAGAGCATTATTTCATCATGTCACAATGAAGACGACTGTCTGTTGTGGGAGATGGGCACATAGCTGCCTGCTTTGAAGTGTACTCATTTTGAAACTTCAAATTAGATTGGTTTTACATTGAGGCCTAGATGGGGCAGTAGAACGATTACTTTGCTGCTTATGTGTGTCAAGTTGGGAGCCTTTGTTAGGAACTGGAAGAGAGGTTGTTAGAGGCAGTCTGTATGGTACAGTGGGGAAGATATTGGACTGAGACCTCATTGTACCAGTGGACACTGGGACCTTAGGCACTTAGACATGGATTCAACAATTCCATAAACATGAATTAGTTAGTTAATATAATGAAAACCCATCGAAAAAAACTGTTGCCTTGTTCCTTCTACCTATAAAATATCTCTTTCCTCTGTACCTTTGTCCTAACCCAAAGAGCCACCACCCTAATTCAAGCCCTCACCAGAAATCCTGGGGTATTTTGTGCTCCGCCATTTTCAATGGCTCCCATGATCACAGAGTTATGGAAGTCTGGACTCTTACAATAAACTTCAAATGGATCCTACTGGTTTTGGTCCCTCTGCTCTCCACACAGCTGCCAAATCCATATTCCTAAGACAAAGATCTCAACATGGTATTCCCTCTATTGAAGAGTCCTCAGTGAGCCCCTGTTTCTTTTAAGATAAAATATAGACTCCTCAATCTGACACAGAAAGTTATTTTAGAAATCTTACTCTCATTTTTCCAGTCTTGTTTCAGGTTACTTTCACATACTTTCCTTTCCCTTTATGCCACATATCTTCTCTTCTCTGCATCCACGCATTTGCACAGTCTGTTTTCCCCTTCCCCCTTAAATTCACCAAGTTCTTGCCTCCACCTCTTAAGGTATTTAACAGCCTTCAAGGTTCTTCAGCTACCCCTTCTATGAAAAGTCATTCATGATCCCGCCAGTGGCTAACACCTATAATTTTCCTAAGATAATCTCACATTATAGTTATGTGTTCATATTCTAATTCCCTTCCCCTTACACAACTACCAATGCCCAGTAGAAAGTAAGCTTGCTGAGGGCAGGAATGTTTTTTTTTCTTCTTTGAATCATTAAGGCCCAGCACATTGCCTTGCCAATGAGAATTGTTTAATCCAACACCCATTTATTAAGCACTTATTATACAAAAGTACTGGAGATACAAAGACAGAAATGAAAAATAAAAGTTTCTGTCCTCAGGAAACTTACATTCTGGGGAGGAGATACAACATGCACACAGATAAATAAATACAAAGTAAATTTTTGAGGTGAAGAGAGAGAGAGCATTTAACAGTTGGTAGAGATGTACAAAACCCTCGTGTAGGAAGTGGCCCCTGGGATGAGCCCAAAAGGGAGCTGGGGATTCCACGAAACAGTGGTGAGGAGAGAAAGCACAAGAAAAGCCTGGATAAATACTTGTTGAATTGAATGAATCGATTCTTTAGCATTATTGTCCTTATTGCTAGTGTTGCTGTCATCACACACACAGCATAAATGTGAGTACCAAATGTTGGAGCTTTTCCATTTCTAGAGCAAGACACAGACTGAAAACACAAGGGAAAGGAAATCAGTTTCCTCTTGTCGAGAATTCTTCCCCCCTCACTCACACACACACACCCAACGCTGAAAAGAAATTTAACATAATGTGAATTCCATATGTCTTTGCTTTATATTTCAACTTCATTTGGCCATAAAAAATTAGGCTTTCTGGCTTACCCCCAATTGAAGCTTAAATAGGTCATATCTCAAGCTCAAATCTCTCTTCAAAATCCTCACACACCTGCATCATTCCACTATGCAAGGCACAATTTATTAGCTTTAAAAAAATGAGTACAAAGATCCACCTGGGAAAAGCAGCCCATGCCCTGAGAGGGGAGAGGCAATATGTTGTACTGGATAGGGCACTGGACTTTGAGTCAGAAAGACCTGGGTTCAAACCTTGCCTCAGATATTTAGAAGCTGTTTGGCCTTGGACCAGTCATTTAACCATTCTTCATCTCATTTTCCTCAGATGTAAAAGAAGAGGTTAGATTCAATGGCCTCAAAGGTCCTTACTAGGTCTGAGTCTATCATTCTATGGGAGAAGGTAGACCTGCATTCTATGGAGAAGTCCCACCTCAGAACATGTTGGGGAAGTCAGAAGCATGAATTGAAGAGCTAAACTCCTCCTATAGAATCATTATGCATTTCATTACAGAGTCTCTCATGGGAAATTTTGTGCAAATCAAAGTGAATTAGTAATTATCCCTTCAGTCACACTGCAGCAAGTTTTAATAGATCACATGCCCTCCATCCCTTCCTTTCAGCATGACTGAGGTTGGTTTGGGCTCTCAGTAATAACAGAGCAGAGTTTGAGTATTGGGATTGGAAGCTGGTGCTAGATAGCTTACAAGCAGTGTCTCAGAAAGGAACTGGACAAAGATCTGGGAAGTTGTTTTACTCTAGTTATGCTGTTTGGAATTTGGAAAGAGACACATGCTACAGTCAAGAGGCTCCTTAGGGCTGTGCTCTATTGTGTCTGTTTCCAATTCGATTGTCTTCGTCTTGGGGAGCAATTCTTCCTTCATCACTTGTCTTTCCAGAATGGATTTCCATCTCACTGAATGTATTTACCCTGAGAATTTGTTTTCCATCCCAGTCATTTAATGGAGTGAAGAAGTTTTGGTTTGAGGAATGTCTAGTCAGTCAATAAACTTTTATTTATCTATGGACCAGGCACTCAGCTAAGCACTGGAGATACAAAAAGGGGCAAAAGATGGTCTCTGCCTTCAAGGAACTTATAATCAAACAGAAAACTCCCTCCATCATACAATCAGCAACTCTTTCTGTAATTTACCATCTTAGAGAGCTGCCTGACACATAGACACATTGTGACTTGTCCCTTGAGAAGCAGCCCTGCCCTGTGCACATAAGTGAGGATACCTTTGTTCATTTTTGAAGAAATATAGTATTTTCCCCATTCAGTGACCCATACAGTTAACATATTATCAAACTAAAGTCATCCTCAGAGACATACATTGGGTTTATGTTGTTTCCTACCTGGTATTTTGAGCACACGGAGTCCTCCAACTTAAATCTTTTCAAGTCTTCCCCATTTTCTTCAGGGGAGCCCTAGGGAAAGTCACAGAGTATATAAGGCTTACGTTTTAGGTGGCTTCCTTCTCATTTCCTCCCTCTCAGGTGACCCTTCCCTCCCCTTCAGTATAGTCTTCCTCTCTCAGAAATGTTTGATGCCCTAGTTCTGCAAACCTAGTTGCCCTGAGAACCCCACCAAGGAGTCCTAGCATAGAAGAGGTGTCACAATACAGAGCTTTTTAATCCAAGGAAGAGTGTAATTATCCTGGGACCCTTCCTTGTAGAGGGGGGTTTCCTAACCTGAGATACATAGTGGGAATGACAGACTTGTCAAGAGGGTAGGGGTAATGGTTTATGAAAGTTACATTATCCTATTAAATTATCCCCAAAACAGTAGTGTTAGTGAAAAAAGGGGAGACAGTAGTGGGTTAGGAAAGAAAGGGTGGAATCATAACACATCTAAAAAATGTGAGACAAGTGAAGGGTTAATTTCTGCTGACCAAAACTAAATGGATAAGGTTTAGTCACATACAAAAATCTTTTCATATTGGGCTAGATAAAAAATCATGAACAGTAGCCTAGTTGAAAATGAGAATACTGATCTTCACAATGACCAGAAACTCTGAATCAATTTCCTCTCAAGGAAGTTACAAAACATTAGGTGTTCCTTTGGAACAGCATATCCCCTTCTTACTAAATGTGTTCACAGGACTTCAGTTCCAGTCATTAGAACTTATCTCTATGAATCAGGATTCTCAGTCCTGTTCTCAATCAAATCCAAAAGCAAAAAATGAACTGGAAGCTAAATGAGATATTTGGGTATCACTTTAAAAAAAAAAACATAAGGAGAATAAAACTGTTATTGACAAGAAACAGAACCAAGAGTCTCTCTAAGTGATTTTATAGTGTTCTCACAAACAATTAACAACTTTATGATACTTAAAAAAGAGACAGCTAGAGGAGCAGTGATAGAGCGCCAGGCCTAGAGTCAGAAATACCTGGGTTCAAATCTGACCTCAGACGCTTCCTAGCTGTGTGACCATGGGCAAGCCATTGTACTTCTATCTGCCTCAGTTTCCTCAACTGTAATATGGAGGTAATAATAGTATCTGCTTCATAGGCTTGTAGTAAGGCTCAAAAGAGAATATTTTTTTTAAAAAAAAAGCACTGGGTGGGGAGGGCAATGGAGCCAAGATGGCGGAGTAAAAGCAGTGAGTGACCTGCTTGAGTTCTCCTTCAAATCCCTCCAAATACCTGTAAAAAAATGACTCTAAACAAATTTTAGAGCAGTAGAACCAACAAAAAGACAGAGTGAAACAAATTTCCAGCCCAAGACACCCTGGATGGTTGATAGGAAAGGTCTGTTGGGCCTGGGTGAGGGAGGAGCCAGGTCCAGCCCTGGCCCTAGCACAACCCCAGGGCGGTGGCCACGGTGGAAGTGGTTGCTTCCGAAGCTCTCGGCCCACAGATGGAGGGGAGATTGAGTGGCTATCAGAGGGGGATTGAAGGGATCTCTTTGCTGGTGCTGAGGCAGGATTCTCTTGCTTTGCCCCTGCTTGGATCTGGGTGGCACTCCTGGGGCGAGGAGGAACACTGGCATGGTGGAGCTTGGTGGTGGAGACAGAATCCTCCTCACAGTTCCAAGGCATAAAAGAATGCTTGTCATCACTTAGACCAGAGCACAGGGCAGGAAAGCAAAAAATACCTCTCCTTTGATCTTACCACCTTGGAAGAACTGAAATTTTACAGGTCCCTAGAAGTATCTCTGAAAACAGCTGCACAAAACCCCAGCAGCTTGGGATAGTACATCCTCTACAATGGAAGCAGACCCCTACCTTAACAAAGAGTTTAAAACTCAAATAATTGGCTGGGATCATAAGCAAACTGTGCAAAAAATTCAGACTATAGAATCTTACTTTGGTGACAATGAAGATCAAAACATACAACCAGAGGAAGACAACAACGTCAAAGATCCCACATCCAAAGCATCCAGAAAAATATGAATTGGTCTCAGGCTATGGAAGAGCTCAAAAAGGATTTTGAGAAGCAAGAAAGAGAAGTAGAGGAAAAATTAGGAAGAGAAATGAAAGTGATGCAATAAAATCATGAAAAATGAGTCAATAGCTTGCTAAAGGAGACCCCCCCAAAAATTGAAGCAAATAACACCTTAAAAAAATAGACTAATCTAAATGACAAAAGAGGTCTAAAAAGCCAGTGAGAAGAAGAATGCCTTAAGAAGCAGAGATGGCCAATTGGAAAAGGAGGTCCAAAAGCTCACTGAAGAAAATAATTTCTTAAAAGTTAGAATGGAGCAAATGGAAACTAATAACTCTATGAGAAATCAAGAAATTGTGAAATAAAACTAAAAGAATGAAAAAATAGAAGACAATGTGAAATATCTCATTGGAAAACCAACTGATTGGGAAAATAGATCCAGGAGAGAAAATTTAAAAATTATTGGACTACCTGAAAGCCATTATAAGAAAAAAGAACCTAGACATCATCTTTCAAGAAATTATCAAGGAAAACAACCCTGAAATAGGATATAATAGAAATTGAAAGAATCCACCAATCACCTCCTGAAAGAAATCTCAAAAGGATAACTCCTAGGAATATTATAGCCAAATTCCAGAGTTCCCAGGTCAAGTAGAAAATATTGCAAGCAGCCAGAAAGAAACAATTCAAGTACTGTGAAAACACAATCAGGATAACACAAGATTTAGCAGTTTCTACATTAAGGGATAAGAGGGCTTGGAATATGATATTCTGGAGGTCAAAGGAGCTAGGATTAAAACCAAAAATCACCTACCCAACAAAACTGAGTATAATCCTTCAGGGTAAAAAATGGATATTCAATGAAATAAAGGACTTTCAAGCATTCTTGATGAAAAGACCAGAGCCGAATAGAACATTTAACTTTCAAATACAAGACTCAAGAGAAGCATGAAAAGGTAAACAGGAAACAGAAATCATAAGGGACTAATTAAAGCTAAACTGTTTACATTCCTATATGGAAAGATGATATTTGTAACTCATGAGACTTTTTTCAGTATTAGGGTAGTTGTATATACATATATACATACATCTATAGGACAGAGGGCACAGGGTGAGATGAATATGAAGGGATGATATTTAAAAATAAAATTAAGGGGTGAGAGAATTGTACTGGGAGAAGGAGAAAGGAAGAGGTAGAATGGGATAAATTATCTCACATAAAAGAGGCAAGGAAAAGCTTTTACAGTGGAGGGGAAGAGGGGGGAGGTGAGAGGGAATGAGTGAATCTTACTCTCATCAGATTTGGCTTGAGGAGGGAAAAACATACACACTCAACTGGGCATGGAAATCTATCTTCACCCTACAGGAAAGTAGGGGGATGGGGATGAGAGAAGGAGCATGATGGAAGGGAGGGAAGATTGGGGCAGAGGGTAATCAGAAGGAAACACTTTTGAGGAGAGATAGCGTCAAAGGAGAGAACAGAATAAATGGGATGGGATAGGATGGAGGGAAATGTAGTCAGTCTTTCACAACATGACTATTATGGAAATGTTTTGCATGACCATACATGTATAAGCGATATTGAATTGCTTGCCTTCTCAATGAGGGTAGATGGAGGGGGGAAAAGGAAGAGAATTGAGAGCTCAAATTTTTAAAAAATGAATATTAAAAATTGTTTTTACATGAAACTAAAAAATAAGATATACAGGTAAAGGGGTATAGAAATCTATGCTGTCCAACAGGAGAATAGAAGTGGAAGGGAATAAGAAGGGGGGGGGGTGATAGAAAGGAGGGCAGATTGGTGGAAGGCATATTTAGAATGCACACCATCTTGGGGTGGGGGGAGGGGACAGATGGGGAGAAAATTTGGAACTCAAAATCTTGTGGAAGTGAATGTTGAAAACTAAAAATAAATGAATTAATTAACAAAAAAGCACTTAATGCCTGGCACATAATAGGTACTATATAGATACTTGTTTTCTTCTTTTCTCCATATTCCAAATAAAGTTTTCTCTATGGAAAAAAAACCTTTTATTTCTTATGTGATCATCACAGTACACTCTAGAACAGTGGTGTCAAACTGAAATAGAAACAAGATCCCTAAACTGCATATAGGAATTCCTGCGGGCTACATATTGACTTACAAAACCACATATTAATATTATCTATGTTTTATTGTATTCTTATTTATTTCATTAGACATTTCCCAGTTACATTTCAGTCTGGTTCAGATAGCACTCAGGAGTATTGTGGGCTGCATACAGGCTTCACGTTTGACACCTCTGCTCTAGGATTTATTTCCTTTCATATTCATATTTCAAGAAATATTTCATATTTCAATTTCACCTCAAATAAGGGGTATGAAAGGTTTACTGAAACCAAAGGAATATGGGTCAGAAAAAAACAATTTTAATCCCTCTTCTGGAGTCAGGAAGACCTAAGTTTGAATGCCATCATAGACACTTACCAGCTGTGTGATCCTGGCCAAGAAACTTAGCCTCTCAGTTTTCTAGGTAGGCTTACTTTCATACTCTCTAAAACAGGAATGATAATAATAGATAGGATTATATGAAGGCACAGCAGCCAAAGCTCATTCATTTGGTATGGTCGGCAGAAATCAGTCCTTCAACTGTGCCACATTTTTCAGATGCATTAAGACTCCTTCTTCTCTTCCCCCCCTTCCATCTCTGTCTTCACTGCTCTCTCTTCAATCCACAATCCTTGATCAAAGGTTATAATGGAGAGAGTCTTTTGGAAACCGTTAGCACTATATAAATGTTAGCTATGTAAATGTTAGCTGTCATTCCTCCGGGTTCTACTGAGCCATTGGCTAAATAATATGACACTTTCATTTGAGCTAATGTTATAACAGCTTAACTTGGGTCAAGCAACATAATTAAATTTTTTACAAGGATCTTTACCCCAAAGTACTAACCGAGGTGGGAGCTAAAGGAATCCAAGAAGGCTGAGTGACATCTGAGGAACATATGTGGGGTGCCTCAAGTCACATCATGGAAGGTAGCTTCTACTTCTGCCCATAC